ATATTAATGCGAAAGAATGAATGGTTTTGATTGTTATTTAATTGCAAAATTTTATTTTATTGCATCATATACGTGTTTTTCAATCATCTATTTATCCTTCAATCTATTTATTTTGTTTCAAATACATCATATCACAATTTAAAGGAAAAAAGAGATAGTCTCCTATCCAAAACACTTGTTGTTATTTTCATAATTTAATCAATAATTGAATTAATTATTAATAATACAATTATTAATAGGACGTGTGATGATATTATGTCTAAATTGGTTAACAATTATTTAATTGTCCTTAATTGGTAGGAATTATAAACTATGAGGATGAAATGTGTTCTACATAAATTTTAAAGATAAAATTGGTCAAAATTACAAAATTATGAGGATGAAATATGTTTTGTATGAAACTTTAGGGATAAAATTGGTTAGCACCTTAAATATTGGGATGAAAAGTGCATTTTTCCCATCTCAACTAATCGTGAGTTTATAGACGATGTGGTGATTTTCTGAACTTTTGTTGTAAAATTGTCTGATCATGTGCGGACAAATTTGGTAAAACAAAAAGATAGACAAAAAATTGACACCAAATTTGGTCCAGTTATTCACACACAGATACATCTTACCTGGATTGGGTCCTCGTAATCCTGATCCTGACCCAAATTCGATGTTCATCGGTCCACATTAAACTTCAGCACTTTCCGCACCTAAGAGGTACAACGCAAAGCCCAGAATCCAATACATAAATAGTAGTAGTTCCTAGATTCCACTCCAGCTTAAGTGGGATGTGCTTGATCCTCCCAATGCTATAAAAGGCATATTCTCCAGGGGCTCTTCGTCTTGTTCCCCCGGTCGGCCTCTTCAACTCAGAAAGTTTTTACACCTTTTCTATTATATATTTCCCACCATACCAATGGCGGCCGTGATCCGCCTCTTGAGGCTCTCGTCTTCCTCTTCCCTTTCTCTTGCAAGGAGGTCTTTATCCACGGCTGTCGTAACGGAGGCCGTGAAATCACAAACTTACACTCAAAACCCCGCCCCGACTGCTGTAGATCCCAAAGGTAGAAACGTGCAGTGGGTCTTTTTGGGCTGTCCGGGGGTGGGAAAAGGTACCTATGCTAGTCGTCTCTCTACTCTCCTCAGTGTCCCCCATATCGCCACCGGTGATCTCGTACGCGAAGAGCTTAACTCCGGAAGCAATCTGGGCAAACAAGTAGGGGGTCTATTTAAAAGCGTTTATGATATTCAAGCTATGTTATTCATTTTCACCTTTTGAGTTTTGAGTTGGAGTTTACACTGCAAAAAGATCGAGATATTTTGCTTAACTTTTCCTTTATATATATGTGTGTGTGTGTGTGTGTAAAAAATTCTAGCTAAGTGGGATTTGGCTCAGCTAAAAGGGAATTCAGAAAAGAAAAGTCTATCCCAACCCTCTATGCAGCTGGAAAAGATGAAAAAAAATGTCTCCTTTATTATGTCTACGAGCTTTAACAATTACTCATATTTGGCTGTAGATGACATTTTAGTTTATTTGAATTCTGTGCTTGAACGAAGGGGGTTTATTTTTGTGCTTTGTTTTTCTTTTTATTTTTAAAATGTTATGATGTAAAATAAATTTTCAAGTTGGCGGATAGCTTAGCAATTTGCCTACTGAAACTTCAGATTATCTGGCAATTGCTTGGGCAGAGCTAATTGTTATTAACACCTGGACTAAGAGTGCTGCATTTGCATCCGACTTTTCGTATAATCTCGTGCAGACCTTTTTTTTTTGGGTCGAAGATATGAGATTGTGTTAGTACAAATTTTGTAGAATATAACAGTTGAGATCTATCGCTATCTTATGCTTGCAGCTCGAAGATATTGTGAACCAAGGAAAATTGGTTTCTGATGATATAATAATCAGCTTGTTGTCAAAGAGGCTTGAAGCAGGCGAAGGAAAAGGTGAATCTGGATTCATACTTGACGGGTTTCCTAGAACTGTTAGACAGGCGGTGAGTGATTCCTTATGGGAAGAGCTGTACTTCTTGTTCTATCTGTGGAAGTGGATGCAATGCCTACATGCAATTTTGTTTCTTTCATTTGAAGATGAAGAAGTAGTGAAAAATAAGAGAAAAGAAAAATTGATCTGCATATGGAATGGAATTCTGAGAGGTTTTTCTTTTGAGGCTGTTTAGGACACGTGATTTCAAATTTTGAGGTTATTACTGCATTTTTGTTGGCTTGTACTCATGTTGTAGCTCTGCATTCTCCAATTTTGTGTTTCTGGTGCAAATCTGCTTTAGAAGACATATGTTTTACTAAAGTGCCATGTATTCTCATGCAAATGAAGTGTCATGTATATTTTTATTTGCAGATTTGGCAAGAAGTTGAATAGAATACATGACACAGAAATTTGATAAGAATACTTAAGCTACAAAAGTGATTTAATTGTGATCCCATGCTATGATCAGAGTTTTTTCTTTTCAATATGTTGATTCCTTGTTTCTAAGATTGTATAATTGCAATTTATTTGTTTTTGCAATTTCTCCATCTGGTTCTGCTTGGAAGAATTGATGATTTGTATGAGCAATATGATTCACTTTTCATTTATAGGCAACAAGTTAATTTCTAGAACTTTATTCAATTTCTGCCATGCCAAGTTCCCTTGCAGAATTCTTGAATGTGGGAGGTGAAAGTGAAGTTTTGAGTCAGAGTTCCTAAAACCTCAATTAATATACATAAAATTTGACTATAGGAGAAAACTAAGTTAGTTGGCAGATTTAAGTCGATGACATGGGCAGATGGGGGGAAAAAGATCGCAGGAAGGTTAAGAATACTAACCAAATAACTGAACCACCAAAGTTAATGAGGACATATAAATGAAATGCTGGGGTCTAAGGGAGTAAATAGTGAAGTAGTTTTTAATGCTCTAAATTCCAAGTTTGTCTTTATAAGCTCCTTAATTCCAGATGGCTAAAATCAAAAGTTCCGCACAGGAGTTATTTGACAGCAGTAGTCTATAGCGTTGAGGTTCTTCCTGATGATGGAATAGCTATAGGATTGTAGTTTGGGGTATTGAGTTGAATTGTGCTCTCATGTCTTTGCATGTCTATGCAGGAAATTTTGGATGAAGTGACACACATTGATTTGGTTGTCAATCTTAAGCTGCCAGAAAGTGTGTTGATTGAGAAGTGCCTAGGGCGAAGGATTTGCAGCCAATGCAGGGAGAATTTTAATGTGGCATCTATTAATGTGAAGGGTGAAAATGGTCGTCCTGGAATTAGCATGGCCCCTCTTCTTCCTCCTCCACAGTGTGTTTCAAAGCTCATCACTCGAGCTGATGATACTGAAGATGTTGTAAAAGAAAGGCTTCGCGTATACAATGAAAAGGTATCCATTCTTCCTCTCCCTATGGAGCTTTGCCCAGGGTAGAATGAATTTCTAGTAGACTCTTATTTAAGGCCATAGTAAACAAGCTTTTATGGTTTGGTTTACTTTTCTTGACTTCTTATCATTCGTCCTTTCTTTCATGTGGGGCAGGGGAACGGGTACTAGGATGACCAAGGACAAGCTCTCAGCCTACCTAACAGAAATTGTTAATTTTAAAATGAAGTTGTATGGAAGGTTAAATAATTGCAACTTGAGTTAGAAAAGTTTTCCAAACTTAATAGCTTGTCCAAATTCCTAACCATGCCCATCATTGTTCTGAATTGAGAATTCTTGTTAATCAGTATCTCGAACAATGGGTTTTAGGCTGAGTTGCATGATTTAATCATCATCTGTGGAATCAATTTATGACATGGTGCTTTTGGTGGCCGCAATTCTCTTTCAACGGACTTAGTTACATGTCACACACTCTCTACAGGTCCTTCATATTTGGGCCTTCATTCCCTTGAAGTTTTTTTTTTTTTTGGTCGCAATCTACAACTATTGTTAAGTTCCTGTGGATCTACATGTCCCAACAGATTAGTCTAAGAAACATTCTAACTTGAAATCTTCTCCTCCCTGTTAAGCATAGTGGTGGAAAATCACGAGGGATTCTACAGAAATTTTAACTGAATTACGATCCTTAGGTGTTATATTATTTTGTGATGTTTTAAAATTTCGTCAGTCAGATTAATTTGTAATTTCTTCTGTGAATTAGAGGAGAATGATCAGTTATTCAATTGGTGCATTGATACTGACACAGGCCACAATCAACTTAACCCTTGTCACTACCGTCTAGCATGGGCTGTGTTAGACTTATAGATTGTTCAGAATTGGGTCATTTGATATTTATGGTCAAACACTATCTCGTAGGGTTGATTGGAGAAAACATTGTGAAAATGTCAAGGTTTCTCCTTTTGATTCACAGTTAGATAGAGTAAGATTTCACAGCTGCTTTAGATGTCTCTTCCAGTAGTTGCTTCTTGTGTGAATCTTACATCTGGTGCTTGCAGAGTCAGCCTGTTGAGGATTTCTATCGGGGTCAAGGGAAATTGCTGGAATTTGATTTGCCTGGAGGAATCCAAGAAACCTGGCCAAAATTGTTGGAAGTTCTTAACCTTGATGAGCAGGATGAGAAACAGTCTGTTGCTGCTTGAAGCCTTCAGTTGCTGTGCATGAATATAGTGCACGCTGGAACAATTTTGCAGGGAAAGACCAGCTTTTTTTTTTCTTTTTTTAAATCCATTTCTTTTCTTTTATTGATTGATTGTGAGGAAATAACAAACCTATAACCAGCCCGATAATTATGGTGGCTATTAATCGAGGCTCTTAACTATTCAGAAGTCTGTTGTAAGATTAAAATACTGCAACTCACATGAATGATTTGGTTGAAATTGACTGTGATAAGCCTCAAATAGACATCATTGGTTCATTGCTCTGCTTTTGTTGCAGCTGTCACGAGTGTCCTTGACCATATTACGTTGTGTGTACTTTAATAAAAAGCTTGACATTCACAATCAAAACACGGTTTTTGCAAGATTTTGTCCTTTTTTTTTTTTGGGGGCACAAAAGGGAAAGTGGCCTAACCCTTTAACTTGCAACAAAACGTGGGGCGGCGGCTCTTCAAGTTGTTATCTTTCACGTGCTTAGGTGTTTCTGTCGTACTCCTCGAACAAAACCTCCGAGTCCGAGGTTAGGGAGTAAGCTCAGATTAGAGGGAGGCCTTGGTGGTGGACTGGCAATGCCGACATCCTCTGTAACTGTAATCTTCCACCTTTATTCATAGTGACCGACCAATGCAGCACATGATGTGTCTGCTTGGTGTTGACATGACAGCAGCTCAAGTTGCCGGTTTTGGGATGCTTATTGAACAGCTAATTCATGGTTGTTGCAGATACTTCTATATCGTTAACCTTAAATGGCAACAGCGGACTTCATTGGGACAAAGTGCGAATTAGGTAAAGCTATGCATACTTTCATTGGCTTTATAAGTTGTTCATACAGGCCAAGAAACTCTGTTGTAACAGAAGATGGCTTTCAACTCTTTCCGGAGCCAAAAAGAACCCCTCCACCATTAGCAGCTCAGAATTACAGCAAAGCACATGAACGAATGCTTGAAGAGATCGCCTCAATAAAATTGTCCGCCATGGTAATCGCTTGTGATCGGCACTGGATCACATTGCCAGTGTCCTTGCAGTTGAAAGAAATGAGTCTTCCAGTTCACCAGGAGTCTCAAGAATCAAGATGCAACAGAAGAATTGAAGCACAGCAAATCTCACGTAAGAGCATGTAAGCCTCTTCGGCTTTTTCAGTTTCGACCCTCATTTGTCTCCTCTGTTGCTGTGCCATCTATTCCTGTTTGTGTCCCTAAAAAATTATCTGCTATAATACATGCTAGTTTACCATATTTACGAAATCCAACTCTTGTCTTGTTTCCGCTTGCCCTTTGATTTCTTCCCTGCTAAGTAGAATGATGGAGATAAAAATTTGAAAAGAGCCGTTTGCAATCGGTTGCTGAGTTCAAAGTATTTTAACAAAGTTAATTCTGGATTCATATTTTAAGGATATTCAGTCTATGAGTTACAGTATAATTTACCTTTCTAAGTAGTTACGTTTTCTTGTAACTTAATAATATTGCTATGCTGATGAAATTTATGATGAACAGAATAGACAGATATGGGCTTGACCCTCCATTGCAAGGAAAAGGAAAAAAAAAAGAAAAGAATAGACAGATATGGATGCTTCAAATATTGCTCCGTCTGTTCTTTTATTGCTCCTGTCACAGGAAGCATGAAAGAAATGCTTCGTCTATTTATTTTCTTGTTGAAAAGGATAGAGTATATATAAAGCATAGGATACAGTTACATAAACAGTTGAGTACTGGATTTAACCTTATTTACTCGGGGTGAAACCCGAGTACCTGTTGTGAATACTTATAAAATGACATTCTTATCCTTACCATGCACGGATTTATATTTCAATTTAAAATAATACTAATATATATACTTATATATTATGGGGAATTTATATTTCAATTCAAAACAATAATATATACTTATATGTTATAGTATAGGATAAAGTATATGAAAAAGGCAAAACAATTCAAAGAAGTGTCTACTTAATATGTTAAAAAAAGTTTATTTCGTAAGTACAAAATGGACTTTTTTAATTTTAATATCTTAAATAAGTTGAAACCAAAATTTGTTTACCTACTGTCTGTCAATATATGATAATAATTTGAGTAAAATAATTTAATTTATAATGAGTTACATGATAGAGCAATTGTAAACCTATTTATCAACATATCATGTTATACCCATTTATCAAAATTTTTAATATTAAAAATATAAATTTTAACTAATTCATTTTCCTCAATTTTAGAAATTTTTTTCTCCCATCTTGTAATTCTAAAATTGTTGAGTGCTTATAAAATAGTATGTTTCATAAACTTTAATATAGATTTAAAAAAGTCTTTGTAAAATGTGTTTTAAAAGTTTTCAAAAATATTAAAAACTATCACGTCTCTATAGTTCTCTTCTTTCTTCTCTCCTTTCTTCATCTAATCTTGTAGTAGTTCATCTTTTTTTTTGACTTTTTTCACCACTCTTTAATTCCTCACTATTCCTTTTTTCTTGCCTATAGTTAGCTTCTAGATTTCTATTCTTGACACCCAATATTTCTCTATTATTTATTCAAAATATAACTTAACATATGTTTATGTTACGCTATTATATAGTGAATTTCGCTAATAAAAACACCAAATTTAGTTATTTTTCATATTAATTTTGAATTGAATGATTTCAAATTTTCAAAGGAGAAATATTGTCATTGAATCTACATTCAACCTTCAAACTAAAGAGTTAAAATTTGAAAAAAAAAAATTCCATAACTTGCAATTCGGTTTTAGAATGTACTTGTATTTGTACTTTCAAAATAAATTTGAAAAGATAAAATTTGAAGCAAAAGAAAAAAAGAAAATCATAACCTGCAATTTGATTTAATATTTTTACAATATATTTAGCTTTACCTCTCACAATATGAAAAGCATATAGTAAAACTTAAGATTGATCACAATGGTTGCAAGTATTGACATTTAAAAATGCAAATGAAAAATTGATAATATCTTATAAAACCTTAACTACTACAAAAAAATTTATAAAAAAGACGTAGCAATTGCATATTTACATATGAAGAAAACAATAAAAATACATAAAATAATTAATAATACACAAGACTATTCTTAGTATTTGGGTATTTGCACTCTTATTCAATTTTAATTAAGGTCCAATTTGGATCAAATATATACAAATTTAATAGATATATAGTTTAGGGTCAAAAGTTCTATACGATTTCTTTAAATTGCATTGTTATTTTTTAAAAAAATTGTTGGTAGAATTGGTGTTGTTTTTGTTATTATTTTTCATCAAAAATAGAGATTTCAAATAAAAATTTTCATGTTGAAATGCTAGTAGTACTTTGTTTTTTTGTTTAGTGATCTCATAATTTAGGGTTCACGAATAGTACTATTCCTGATTTTTTTAATCGACGACCAATGAATATTTTTTTCTTTTTGTTTTCTATATAATTTGCCCTTTTAGTTAGGATTACTAAGTTGAAGGGTAAAATATTATTATTTACTTTTTTACTTTTAGTAAGTTTAATGGTGTCTACTCTTTATTTACCTCACATTAATAGATTTCAAATCAAATTCCTATATAAGTGGAGTCACTTCATACTCTTTAAATTCAAAAGACATGAAAGGATATATAACAATTAAAAATTTCAAAACTCTATATATTAAAAAAAAAGAATAAGGAGTTAGAAGCATTTTGATTTAACCATCCTAAAAAACCATTCTTGCAATACATATAAATATAGATAGATAATAATAAAATTAAGTAAAATTATAGTTTGGTTGTTTGCAAAAAATTTTAAAAGGTATTGGAAATGTGTAATATGGTAAATACTTGGAATTTATTATCGTATACATATTCTATGACTTTACCTTCAAATAATAGAACTTTTCAATAACTTTTTCTTATTTTTTTCCTTTGGGAGATTACACTCCATCATTGCTTGGTAATTAAAACACTTAAATTTTGTCAAAAAAAAAACAATAAAGCTAGTGTAAATAACAATCTCTTCCCTGACTTTTTTTACCAGCTAAATCTTCTTCACCTTGAAAAAGTAAAACAAATTTAGAACGATACTATTAGGAAAATCTACAAAATTAACAAGGACAAAACAGTTACTATGTGGTAAGTACAACTCTTATCTAGTAGGCTTTTGCAAACCAAACATTGACATCTTCATTTTCAGCACCATCATCATTAAATTTCAAGGCTTTCCCTTTTTCTGCTTTGAATTCTGCAACTTTGTCGGTTCATCCAAATAAACTTGCAAAAGTATATGAAAGAAATATCGAGACCATTTGAAACTGATATTTTCGTGTAATAGACAATAAATTCAAGTATATCAAAAGTGCACTCAATTCTTCAGTTTTAGACTTCTACTTCTCACTATCCTCTTTGGCAATTTGAATAATTGGATCATCAAATATTCATATCACAAAAGACCAAATAAACAATAATATGTTCTCTTCAAGTTTAAGTGTTCATACCATCCACAGAAACTTGTGAAGAGGATTTGCCTGCATGAACAATTTTCTAGAATCTTCCATGTGCATTTCAAGCTAAACAGGATTAGCCACATCCATCTAAACTCACTTAATAATGCATACCAAATATAGAGAAATTTACAATATTGTTCAAAATCTAAGAACAATTTGACAAACATTCAGACAGACAGTAGCCGATGAACAAATTGTACAAAGACCGATCAAGAGTACCCATTGTGAATGAAAGTCATATACGAAAAAGTGCACAAAAAGAAAACTGAACCAACAATGCTGTATATTAACAATGGCCATTATTGCGGCTAATTAACTCTAAAAACTGAACACTAAATACTGAAGAAGGAGGAAGGTTCTATAGCTACACTGGTACCGTGCTTTCAAAATGATTCTTCACCTCTCACGCTTGCTTTAATGTAGTCTTAAACGTGCTTCAATTATTGATTTAATCACTCCCTTTTTTTTTTTTTTTTTTTTTTGGAGAAGCCCAATTTCTAATCTGACGATGAACAGGAAGGCAATTTCTGCCCTTACGCATTCGACATGCTATCGAAAACGATTCTTTAGCTTTCACGCATTAATGTTGTTTTAAACACACACTTTAAAATTTTGAAGTTTCAATCACATTTTAACTTGTCACTAGGCCTTTGGTCTGGTGGTCATCGTCAAGACAATAAAGTCCCGCCTAAATTTGTCACAATATGTGACGATTTTCATTGGTCTTCTTCCATGGAATCTCTATTTACATCGAGCCCCCTATCTAGATTAGATTATAGAAATTCTAGCATTGCTACAAAAAAAAAAAATCACATTTTAACTTGCCTGCCGTCCAGTTTACGCGGTAGATCTTATCTGCTCTGATCATATGTGTCCAGCTAGCTAATAGCACGATGGACGTGAAATATTGGCGGGGAAGATATTTTAGATTCTTTTGCCTGAACCCATGTGGACTAGGCATTAGGCAAGTGGCATTCTTCCACAAGGTATAAGGTCACTTTCGTCATTTAATTTGGCCGACCGATTAAAGTTAGAGGCGTCGTCGTCACTACGCCGTTAGACCCGGGTTACCTGTGACAAAACAAAACCACTTCACCTCCGTCTCAAACGGCGTTTGTCTGGATTTCCGACAAGACCCAAGAACTCCTCATAAAGCGGTCAGAGTCTGCCACGTGGCCCCCATAAATCTGTCTGATTTCGGGCCAAGGCTTTTATCGCCCGTCTTTAGATTTGGTCCACCTCATCGCACCCACATCATCATCTCCTGCTCCACCTCGACCTCTAGCATCTGACGTGTCACCTCCCCGACCTGCAATTTACCCACGTCACCAGACTTGGGAAAAAAAAAATCAAAACCAAAAAATGAAAATTGCGTAAGCAAAATTTGCTCTTCAACCTCAAGTCCACCTCCTCCCGTTTCTAAGCCAGTCAAGCATATTTAGTTCAGCGCAAGAAACAAAATCTAATTCATTTTTAATGTATCTCGAGTGCCCTGATTGAACTGCAAGTAGTCTTGGTTTGATCTCTAGTTTTAGCTTCAGTTGCTTGACGGTTTTTTGCTCTGATTTTGGCTTTTGGTTGTCGGACTTCCGGATTGTGAATCGAGCATCACAGTGGTTGTCGATTATGCCCATGTGGATGAGCTCTCTTTGAAGGTTACTCTGGGTTGCCTCAAAACCATTTTCTTGAATTTCAAGCGGAGTTTCTTAGTTTTTGATTTTTCAGTTTTTTTGGTTTCGCTTTAAATTCTCAGTTTATGGTCCTCATTGTCAAGCCTGTCTTTTTGTTCTTTATTCATTCTTCTTCGACGAAATTAATAGTGCTCTGATGAACTTTACTTAATCTATTTGCTGCTATGTTTTTAGAGTTTAATGTGCTTGAGATACATATTCGTTTTGGTTAAGATTAGGGTTTGAAATGTGAAGCATGAGCTGACAATCTGGAGTGTGAACTTACAGGGTATCCGTTGAACAATCGATAGGGCTGCAAGGATATGTGTGTTTAAGCTGAGAAGGGTTTGGTTTGATTTAATTTTGGATAGGACTTTTTGCAGTATTATTTCCACCCTTGACATGCCTTTTTAATAATAAGTTGATATTTGACACTCTTGCTGGTGGATTACTAGGGTTAAAAAGGTTTTGTAGTTGAAGAATTTGAATTCTTGAAGAAGAAGCTATGAGCTGTTTCTTTTTCATTGACAAGGATTTGTCAAAGGTTTTAGCAGGAGACCAAAATTGCAGCTTCCTTATCATCAATGTTTTTGAATCTGGTTGGCAGGGAGTGTTCCAATGGCCGCTGATGATGCTAATGAAGAAAA